GAGGAGAAGCAGGGGAGGCCACACACCTGTCACCCCTCGGCCGGCCCCCGAAGGAGCCGCGACGGGCGACGGGAAAAGGGGGGGGGGGGGGGGTGGTGGGAGCCGGTAGGTGCAGCGGCGGGGCCAGCAGGTGCAGTTGCGGGGCCGGTAGAAAGGGGACGGCAGGAGCCGTCAGGAGGCGACCGGGCCGCGACGGGGCAGCTGGGCCGGGATGGGGCGGGGCCGCGACGGGGCGGCGGGGCCGCGACGGGGCGACCGGACCGCGATGGGGCGGCTGGGCCGGGACGGGGCGGGGCCGCGACGGGGCTGGTTGGGCCGCGACGGGGCAGGGGCCGCAAAGGGGCGGGGCCGCGTCAGGGTGGGGCCGCGTCAGGGTGGGGCCGCAACGGGGCTGGGCCGCGACGGGGCGGCTGGGCAGCGACGGGGCTGGGCCGCGACGGGGCGGGGCCGTGACGGGCCGTGACGGGGCGGGGCCGCGACGGGGCGGGGCCGCGAAGGGGCGGGGCCTTGACGGGGCGGGGCCGCGAAGGGGCGGCTGGGCCGTGACGGGGCGGGGCCGCGACGGGGCGGGGCCGCGAAGGGGCGGCTGGGCCGTGACGGGGCGGGGCCGCGACGGGGCGGGGCAGCGAAGGGGCGGCTGGGCCGTGACGGGGCGGGGCCGCGACGGGGCGGGGCCGCGAAGGGGCGGCTGGGCCGTGACGGGGCGGGGCCGCGACGGGGCTGGCTGGGCCGCGACGGGGCAGGGGCCGCAAAGGGGCGGGGCCGCGTCAGGGTGGGGCCGCAACGGGGCGGGGCCGCTAGAGGGCGGGGCCGCGGCAGGGCGGCGGGGCCGCTAGTAAGGGCGGCGGAGCCGAGAGAGGAAGGGCGACTCGGAGAGTCGCTGAAAAAAAAAAAAAAAAAAAATGCGCGCCTCGGGGCGCGTTTCGGTGGGCCCTAAAAGAAACGGTCCTTAGGAAGGACCCGCTCTATACCATGTGAAAGTAAGAGAACAAGAATGAAATGACTAAGTCAGAGTTGGGTACAAATACAACCCTAGAAAGCTGTACCCCATATGTGCTACCCCACTATAGCCTACAAACATGCATCAGTTATAATAATCTGACAGGCGGGGCCGCTAAGTGCAGGGCGGCGGGGCCGCTAAGTGCAGGGCGGCGAGGCCGCAAGGCCGCGAGTGAAGGGCGGCGGGGCCGCAAAATGCAGGGCTGCGGGGCCGCGAAGGAAGGGCGGCGGGGCCGCGACGTGCAGGGCGGCGAGGCCGCGGCGTGCAGGGTGGCGGGGCCGCGAGTGAAGGGCGGCGGGGCCGCGTAGTGCAGGGCGGCGGGGCCGCGAGTGAAGGGCGGCGGGGCCGCGTAATGCAGGGCGGCGGGGCCGCGAAGGAAGGGCGGCGGGGCCGCGACGTGCAGGGCGGCGGCCGCGACGTGCAGGGTGGCGGGGCCGCGAGTGAAGGGCGGCGGGGCCGCGTAGTGCAGGGCGGCGGGGCCGCGAGTGAAGGGCGGCGGGGCCGCGAAGGGAGGGCGGCGGGGCCGCGTAATGCAGGGCGGCGGGGCCGCGAAGGAAGGGCGGCGGGGCCGCGACGTGCAGGGCGGCGAGGCCGTGCAGTGCAGGGCGGCGGGGCCGCGAAGGGAGGGCGGCGGTGCCGCGATGTGCAGGGTGGCGGGGCCGCGAAGGAAGGGCGGCGGGGCCGCTAAGTGCAGGGCGGCAGGGCTGTGATGTAAGGGCGGGGGGGCCGCGTAGGTAAGGGCGGCGCGACGGGCCGCTAGAGGCGACACGGAGGGTCGCTAAAAAAAAAGGTAGGGAGCGCCTCGGGGCGCGCTTCGGTGGGCCCTAGAAGCAGTCCCTAGGAGGGAACGTGCTCTGATTCCATGTGGAAAGAAGGAACACGAATGGATGAACTATGAAATGTGTGAGTACAAGTACCAACCATAATTGGGTTGTACCCCATATGGGATACCCCACTATAGCCTACACAACAGCATAAGCTATAATGTTCTGACATTTCGAACGTTCTCGACTCAGGTGAATTCGCATTTGAGAATGTTTCGATTTGGTATATATAAAAACAAATTTCATTTTTTAAATAACATAAATGCCGGCGCTTATAATTTTACTATATTATAAGCCCACCACCTAAAAAAAACCATGTTTTATTAGTGCCCCCCATGGGGGTATATCCGGAGTATGACGGCAATTGGACACATTTGTTTCCATTTTTCGGGTAACTTGCGCGAACAGTGATTCCATCCATATTTTTGGAGAAAAATCACAGTTCACGTCAGTCAACCGAAAAGTGAAAACGAATGTATAAGGTTGCTACGCAACCCAAAAAATATGGAAATTAAGAATTTCTGAACTCTTTTCTGCTTGTGGATGCTACCGTTTTGTTTTGTATTCTCTCTGTATGATGTGGGCTCTTTCGTATTTCCCCTTCAATGCACACGAAATGTGTAACGCTCTTATTTCGCACATTTGACTGGTCACGTTCGGGTGACGTCAGTTAGGTCGGTGATTTTGGGTGTATGTACAGTACTTCTAGCCTAGGCTTCTGTGAAGTCGAAGTGACAACAAGCACCACCGTTCGCGATTGACTTTTCATCGTTTTCAATTCGTTAGAGGTTTCGTAGACTTCGCAAAGAGCGTAAGCCAATCAGGTCTTTCAGCAAATTCATTGGCGGACATGAACAACGTGACCAATGTAGGTTGGCACAATTCACCGCTGGTTGCACCCGAACCGCATTTCCTACATTCGGTCGCTGAATTTCTCAAATCCAATTTGAAATCCAGTTCAAATGGTGGCCTCGCTGACCAAAACCACAAGCTTCTGATTTTGAAAACATCCTTTCCTCCTTGGCCAGCACTAATACCACCGAGGATAACTCCTCGACAAGAAAACACTCATCGTAATAGGCCTCGTCTTTTCATTTCAGCACTGCTTTCACCGCTGGTCAACGAAATGAGAAACTCTGCGCGTTTTCTGCTCGTCGCCGCCCTCCTGGCTGTCGCTGTCACCACGGAAGCGGCCACGCCGGTTGATGACGGCCTAAGCATAAGCACGGAGGATGTGGACAAAGCGCTCTCTACCCTCCGAGCGTCACCTTACGCCAATACAGCTCCGCTTCTTGAGAAATTCTGTGAGTACTCTGCGCTTATACTTCGCAGTCTATTCGCTTCTGTCCAGCCTCACAATCTCAGCAACGCTTTCACTGCTATCAGCTCAGGGAAATATATAATAACACCCTCCCATTTGCTGTAACCGAACCGCATTGGCAGTCCGGATGGTGAAGCGCGTGAATGGAACCTCCAAGGCGACTCCCGTGACGGTGCTGCAGCCGATTAACCCGCTCAAGGTGGTGCGCAACTGGGTGCGCTTCTCCGCGGGCGAGCGCAGGCGCGTGGCGCGCTACCACATGCTCAAGGGCGTGTTCACCAAGAGAAAGCTCCGCAAGGCCGCGCGCTTCACCAAGTTCACCACGTACGAGGGCGGAAAGGTCACCAAGTGGTCCGGCAGGCTCTTGCCCTCCGTGATTCTCAAGGGCGGCTCGGACATTCTCCCTGCGGCGCTCGTGTTTGGGAACTTCTACGTTAGCAAGAACTTCGCTCTGCATATCATCTCCAGCTCGTTGACTCCGGGCGATGTCTAAGGAAATGGGTCGAGGTCGACTGTCGTCTGAGTTGCAACCTGGGTTGCACAACTAGTCGCTGTGCCTGACGGTATTGTTATCTCGTGCATCAGCTATTTCCAGCATGGCATTTCTGCAGCTTCGCTGCGTCATCATGGTGGAAACAGCTGATGGGCGAGAGCATGGGTTCTGGATTTCCCTCTGCTTACGTATCCGTTTTCTTTTCTTTTGTGTGTTTGTGCTGGTACACTACCTCTGTGTCCATCTTTTTTGTAATATTGCTCACTTCATAGTAAGAGTTCAACGTGAGAGGTTGAGCTGGACCGAAGCTTCTCAACAACTGGAATGTGCCATGATAACAAGGTGTGACGTACCAGATCTAACCACACGACACCATAAAAGCTGCAGAAGGCTGGCAGAAGGGAGGAGTGTGGGGCGGGAAGATGGCACACTGGTATACCGGATGGGACAGGGGTCGAGCCTTTGAACCCGCACCACGATAAAGCCTTTGAGCCTTAGCTACCACCAAAACCAACATCATCTACACACGCAATTCCACCAAGGCGGTGGATACTTATAGATAAGTAGGAATGGATTTTACTCTTCTGATGCGAATCTTGGAAACGATAAAACAAAGAGTTTGCACAAAATGGTGCTTTGCAAATAGCCAGCAGAGAAAGTCGGTAGCGCATTTGTGCAGGTACATTTGAGAAGGGTAGAGCGGTGATTTTGTTCTGGTAACGACCGGTGAAATGCTCCCTCCGGTGAAGTGCTCCCTCCGGTGAAGTGCTCCCTCCGGTGAAGTGCTCCCTCCGGTGAAGTGCTCCCTCCGGTGAAGTGCTCCCCCGTATCCAAGCCGTGCCATTTGCATCGTCGTGCTACGCTCCAAGGTGGCGTGGCATCACACTTCACTCTGTGCACTGCAACCAGCTCGGTCGGTGCTCTTTGCAAGAGGTTGCTTGGTCTGGCCCACTCGGTGATGTGCCGTGCAAGTTCCGATACCGTACTAGCACTGGTTGTTGCAATACCTCTTCACCAGAAAGCCCTGCTATGTGCACCATGGGTTGATGCCGCTGTGCTGTTGGATCTTCTGGTCTGGTACCGTAGTACTGTTATTTCCAGCCTCGTCATCCCTCTGCACTTCTGACTCACAGAACTGTTGTCAAGCTGTTGGTTAGCTCTGTTGCTGATCTCCCAACCGCTTCATTCCACAAGGGTTTACCTGTCAAGCTTGAAACTCTTCGAGCCTAGCACACAATTGCACACATGCTCCTTTTCACCATCTGATAAATCCACCAACGCCCAGAGGGGCAACCATCCAGCTCCTGTACCGTATTTGTCACCTGGACATCTTCCTGAACGTAGTGTAAAATAGTCAGATGATCACTCACTTCCCCTCCAAACTACGGTAGCAGTCTCGTTCTGCAAGAGCCCTCTAAGCGAGCCCATGGCATCTTGAGCGAATCTACGCTGCATGAACCTTGCGAGAGGAGAGAAGGCAAGGGCGAGTGGGTTGGCCGGGCGTGATATGGAGAGGATCTCGAACCACACATCCTTGTTGCCGTCCATGCCCACCAGAAACCGCTCTTCCCCCTCCTGATCACCATGCATGCCGTGTGCACACGGGGCAGGGCGGGGAAGAGTATGGGGAGGGAAAGTGGCCTAAGCTTGTGAGTCAATCGGTAACGTTACAGGGCAACGGGTATGGCCATGGGTATGGGCATGGGAATGGGCATGGGAAGAGGCATGGGCATGGATGAGTATGGGCATGAGCATGGGCATGAGCATGGGCATGAGCATGGGCACAGGCATGGGCATGGGTTTATGCATGGGCATGGGGTTGAGCACAGGCATGGGCACAGGATTGGGCATGGGCATGGGCATGGGCAAAAGCATGGGCATAAGCAGAAGCATGGGCATAAGCATGGGCATAGGCATGGGCATGGGCATGGGCATGGGCATGGGCATGGGCATGGGCATGGGCATGGGCATGGGCATGGGCATGAGTATGGGCATGGGCATGGGCATGAGCATGGGCATGAGTATGGGCACAGGCATGGGCATGAGTTTATGCATGGGCATGAGTATGGTCATGGGCATGGGCATGAGCATGGGCATGGGCATGGGCATGGGCATGGGCATGAGCATGGGCATGGGCATGGGCATGGGCATGGGCATGGGCATGGGTAGGAGCATGAGGTGTGTGAGAGGCGCACCAGGAAGTGGCCTTGGACCGTGCCACTGCCCACAGAGTATGCTGCTGTGAGCGAGATGCCTGGTGGTGGCGTGCCCATGCTGCGGCCAGACTCAGGGCTTGTAGAGGCAGCGGAGGAGGAGAGGGTGATGGTGGTGGCGGTGGGGTGCGAGTGGGTGGGTGCCGTGGTGGGTGTGAGAGGAGGAGCGGGGAGACGAGGGAAGGAGTCGGAGAAAATGACTCTGAGGGGGTTCATGGTCCATGGGGGGGTGAGGAAGAGCGAGCGCGCTGCCACACACATGGCATCTCCCACACATGCAAGGCGAGGAGAGGGAGGAGGTGGAGGGGAGAGAGCGGATTTGGTGGTGGCGGTGGTGGTCTTAGCGGGATCAGTGGACGGTGGAGGGACGGAGAGAGCCCATGTCCATCCCAGGTTGAAGTGCCTGGGGGAAAGGAAATGCGGGCGTAAGAGAGCGCAGAAGGACGAGAGAATGAGGGGGAGGGCCATGCAAGGTGGAAATGTCGGTGGACAATGACCGGGTACTGTACTGTGGCATGGGGTGAAGTGAAGAGAAGAGAACACAATGCGCTCATCCACAAGATGCTCTCTGGGAGAAGAGAGATGATACAAGATGAGGAGCGATGCGCGGAGATGAGGGGAGGTGAGGAGAGGTGAGGGAAGATGAAGGAAGGTGAGGAGAGGTGAGGAGGGAACAAGGGACCGGGAGTTGAACGAGAAGGGGGGGTGAGAAGAAGGGAGCAATAGAGGTACAGTGCTCGGTGGTGAGTTTTCTGGGGCGCACACACGCACTCACGTACCTCCACGTGCCCACGATCTGCTGGCAGTGGCGGAAGGCCGTGTCCCCTCTGCCCACCTTCTCACACCTGTGCATGCACCTGAACGCCCCTCCATCCACCCGCCACCACTCCCTCCCTCCCACTCTGCCCCTCCTCCTCCTCCTGCTGCTGCTGCTGCCACCGTTCTTATGATCATCAATAGTTCCACTGCCACTTCCCACCTTGTAGCTCCTGACGCTGTTGCTGCTTCTGCTGCTTCGACTGCTGCCGTCGCTGCTGCCACTGCCCGGCTGCTGCTCTGCGAATCCCTCCTCTCCCGCCTGCTCCCCACCCTCCCATGCGCGCACAGCTCTGGTCACTGCACTCACCCCGCCTCTTGTCACGCCCACCAGCTGCGCAGGGTAGTTGAGGGGGAGAGATCTGCAACAGGGTTTGGGCGTGGGGGGAGCGAGGGGGCATGCTTTTGAGGCGCCTAAAAAATAGACGCCTCTCGTCACCCCCACCAGCTGCAAAGGGGTAGATGAAGGGGAGGGATCTGGAAGACCAGGGTGGGCATCAAAGGAGTGGGGAGAGAGGGAAGTGGGGAGAGAGGGAAGTGGGGAGAGAGGGAAGTGGGGCTCCAAACGACAGGTGAGCGTGGAGAGAAGGCGAGTGGAGTTGGAAGAGAGCGAGCAAGAGATATGGGATATGACTGCACCCAGCTGTGCTGCGCGCCAAGCCCTGGTGGCTGCTCAGTGCTGCCCCTCACACCGCCAGGTGCGGTGTGGAGAGCAACACGCGGGGGCGAGAGTGGGCGATGCGAGTCGCAGGAGCGGGTGGAGTGGCGGTTGGGGGGAAGGGGGGGACGGGGGACGCTGAGCGGTCGCAGAGTGTTTCGCGATGCGGGGAGAGCGATCTGAGAAGGGCGGGTGGGGTGGGCGTCGGGGGAGTGAGAGGCGGTCATGGGAGTGAGAGGCGGTCATGGGAGTGAGAGGCGGTCATGGGAGTGAGAGGCGGTCATGGGAGTGAGAGGCGGTCATGGGAGTGGGGGCCGGAAACGAAACGTGGGGACGGAGAGGAGGTGAGTGGAGAGGGGGCGTGAGATTGGGAGGCATGGGAGACGCGTGGGTCATATTCCGCGCTGTTGAGCGTGTAGCAGTGCTGCTGTGTGTATCCCGAATCGAGTGTAGAATCCTTGGGAACGCCAGCAGCAGGTACCGCCGTGTCAAGGGGGAGCGTATGGAGGGCCCCGGTGAGGCTAGGGGCTCCCGCGAGGGGCTCTGTGAGGGGCTCTATGAGGGGCTCTGTGAGGGGCTCTATGAGGGGCTCTATGAGGGGCTCTGTGAGGGGCTCTATGAGGGGCTCTGTGAGGGGCTCTATGAGGGGCTCTGTGAGGGGCTCTATGAGGGGCTCTGTGAGGGGCTCTATGAGGGGCTCTGTGAGGGGCTCTGTGAGGGGCTCTGTGAGGGGCTCTATGAGGGGCTCTGTGAGGGGCTCTGTGAGGGGCTCTGTGAGGGGCTCTGTGAGGGGCTCTATGAGGGGCTGTGAGGGGCTCTGTGAGGGGCTCTGTGAGGGGCTCTGTGAGGGGCTCTGTGAGGGGCTCTGTGAGGGGCTCTGTGAGGGGCTCTGTGAGGGGCTCTGTGAGGGGCTCTATGAGGGGCTCTGTGAGGGGCTCTGTGAGGGGCTCTGTGAGGGGCTCTGTGAGGGGCTCTATGAGGGGCTCTGTGAGGGGCTCTGTGAGGGGCTCTGTGAGGGGCTCTGTGAGGGGCTCTGTGAGGGGCTCTGTGAGGGGCTCTGTGAGGGGATACTGCGAGGGGCCCTAACACAGCCAGGTGCCTGCCGCCGTCACTCCATCAGCCTCGCTTCGCCGCACCCCAGGTGTCGGGGTGGCAAAGCACATGGTGAGGCTAGGTGCGGTGCAGAGCGGCACGGGGGCGATGCGAGAGGCGGGGAGGGAAAGATTGGACGGTGGACACAGCGGATGTAACGCCTGTGGGCTGTGTTAAGGGCACTCCGCTGCGCCAAGTAACACCCTCGTTTTGACCCAGTGGGTAGCGAGGTGTTACATTTGGAATCAGAGCCAAGGGTTCGGATCCCGGCTGGACCACACTTTCCGCCTTTGGCGAGAGCTGAAGTGCGGTTGTAACCAGCTAGACCCCAGCGAACGAACCTCCGCTGGCCTGAGCAACCAGCGAAGTCGCAGCTAGCATCACTGCGAAATCTAGGTCCCAGCGGCAGGGGGCCGACTTCCTGAAGTCCAGGGCCAACGGGGACGTTGGCACCAGGGGGGGACGAGTGTAACGCCTGTGGGCTGTGTTAAGGGCACTCCGCTGCGCCAAATAACACCCTCGTTTTGACCCAGTGGGTAGCGAGGTGTTACAGCGGAGGGGTCGCGCAATGCGCAGTGCGGATTTTCTGCACGCGGGGAGAAGAACGTGGGCTGAGCGCGGCGGGGAGCGAGGCGGGAAGGAAATAAGGCAGGGGAGGATGGGGGAGGGGAAGCAGGAGAGGGAGAGGCGATGCAGGGTAGTGCGCGTGGTAGTACCGTGTGAGCTGGCAGACGCGCTTGGCGTCGTCGCGTGAGGGCTCCAGGAGCGATATGAACACCATGGCTGCTGCTCCTCGCGCCGAGTAGTGTACTCGTTAGACGAACGCGGACTCTTGATACTGGATGATACTGGGCACTGCAGGTCTTGATACTCGATAATAGATGGTCGATACTCGATACAGTACTCGACTCTCGATATTTGATTCTCGATAATCGATTTTGTATCACAGTGCGTCAATACAACGCTATTAAGCAGTGCGGATTGGAGCACTGAGCTGCTGGTACCGCAGAGGCTTTATGAGGGGGAAAGCATCCTAGCGGGGAGAGGTACCTGGACCCCTCCGCTAAAAGGGCAGGGTTAGCGCTTTCTGCGCATGGTTTTCGCAAAAGGCTGGGCTAGGGGGGGAGGGTTATCGTTCAGGTTAGGGAGTCGAGCCCTCAATGAGCCACGTGTTTCATCCTACGCTTGCTCGCTCACTGTACATCCCAACCACAGATTCCGCACTGCGCGCGCTTGTCTTTTCTACCGAACCCATCCCACGTTCCGGGTGGCACGACGGGTCACTGTTCCCAAACCACTGTGGCCCTACCTTTCGCGCCAATACTTGTTACAGCTTCACTGAAAACGCACAGAAACTCCGTCAAAGGACTTTCACGTCAAGGTTTGGCACACAGGAAAAGTGAAACACAATACAGGTAAATCCGTTACGAGAGGTTGAATTGATTGCGCATAGAATGAAAGTAGGGATAAAAAATAAGAATGCGTAGGTCAGGTTTTCATATGCAAAACCTTGATTTGTGTTATTAAACCCTTGTCGGGTTTAGTATTGGATCAGTCACTGATGTCATGTATATATACAACATAGTCCCCAGAAGAACAATCATATAAAATGAGCATTGATAACATTAATGAATACCAGAACATCCAGTGACGATTACGTACGCCCGGTCTTTTACATAACTAACCGAAGAATACCCAACCCGAGAGCACTGATAGAAACCAATGTACCTGCAAAGCATGAGCACAAACACATTCATCAGAATCCTGAAATCGCCCATACTTATGCTTCTCCAAGCCAGCCAGCCAGCCAGACACCGTTCGGCAGCAGCAAGACACACTTGCAAGTGCAACGAATCGACAAACCATTGAACCATGCGCATCAGAAACAAACTCGTTCCTCTCCTTGACTCACCTATGCAATACCGAATAATTTCAAACTTCGCTGCTTCAAGTTGTGTCTTCAGATTGTTTATTTCCTGCAAGGGCCATTACAAGGACATCAGTTACAAACAAGAGTCTCTGCAAGCCAAAAGGCATACCTTCCGTCTCCACCTACGTCACTCCCTCTTTCCCTCGATTGTTTCTCCTCCCTCACTTTCCTCCCTCACCCTCCCGTCCTCTCTCTCTCCCAAACTTAAAACTCAGAATACACAGAAGCCAGCTCACCTTATCCAGCTTATTTGACAAGATATTCATCTCCTGTAGTTGCACGTTCATCTCCTCCTTCACCCGCCTGCACACCACAGAACCAGAATGCCCTCAGCTCCAGACCATTTCAACCCAGCTCAACCCATTCATTGACCCCGATAATACGCACCCCTTCTCAAGATTCAAGTCGAGCCTCTGCCCCGCCGTCACCTTGTCCACCTCGTATCTGCAAAAAACCAAAACGAGGCAACTCAATCACAAGCCTCATCAGCAGCGCATGCAGGAACGACGGCAAACAGCAACAGCAACAGCAACAGCAACAGCAACAGCAACAGCAACAACAACAGCAACAGCAACAGCAACAGCAACAACAACAGCAACAGCAACAGCAGCAGCAACAGCAACAACAACAACAACAGCAACAGCAACATCAACTGCACGCTAATCTGCCTGCACCCGGCGACCCGCGCGCAGCTAATCTGCCTGCAGCTCTCTGATAGATTCTCTGGCTCTCTGATCTGCTCAGTGCATGCATAACATGCAAGCATACGTACCGTATCTCGCTCTTCACCTTGTCCACGCCAATCTTGAGCCCCTCCACCTCCCTCTGCAACGCCGCGAATTTCAAGTCCTGCACCACCACACACACCAGCCAGCACCTTGCCTTAGCTCGACTCGACCTGACCGGGCGAGCAAAGCAGACGCGATACGGAAGAACACAGCGCAGCAACGCGGAGCGAGACGAGACGAGACGCATGCATGTAGGGATGGAGGCACTCACCAGCGTGCTCTGCACGTCCGCCTTGAGCTTCACCAGAGCTGCTTCCGCCACCATTTCCGACTGTACAGGCGGGAAACGAAGAGAACAATAACGAATATGAAAACAAACCCAAAAAAATCATAAACAAAAAAAAAAGAAACAAAAATCAGCACACGAAAGACAAGTAGAATCACCAACAGAACCACCATGAGCACGCGGGGTGGACAATACGGTTGCACGCGGGAGGTGACGGAACCTTGTTGAGGTCGGGTTTGGAGACGAAGGTGTGAGCGACGGAGTCGAGGCTGTCGTGCAGCACCTCCGCGATCAGCTGCGTTATCGCCTCCGCCTGCCGCGCCGTCAGCCCCTCCGCCTCCAGCCGCCGCACCTGCACCATCTCGCGCGCACGCACGCGCGCGTGGGGAGGGAGGAGGGCGAGGGGGGAAGTCGAATGAAGAGCAAAGCTTTGGTGAGTGATCGTGCTGCGGATCCGTTGCTAGGTGAATCCGAAAAGCTGAAGAAGCACTCGCAACGAATCCCGTTGTTGAAACATGCCGTTAATGATCGAAACCCAGGGAGCGAACAAGCAGTCAGTCAGGCACCGAAACGACCCACCAGCGCTGGTAACGTGTCGATCAGATATGCGCGTCTCGCAGGGCCGCTCTGATCGCGATCATGGGCATGGAAACGACTGTTGAGACGCCTCAAAAGAACAAGCAGTCAGTCAGGCACCGACACGACCTACCAGCGCTAACGTGTCGATGAGATACGGTCGTCTCGTGGGGCTGCTGGCGATCATGGGCATGGCCTGGCCTCCCGTGTATAAGAGCCTCATCGGCGCGTTAGTGTTATCGCCGGCATGGCATGGCGTGGCAACGCCAACCCGATCGTTGAAGCGACGCGCCAAGCTCTCGTGAAGGAACGAGTCGTTGCGACCGCATGATGCGCCGTGACCAATCGGGAGATTCTGCCTCTGTGCGGGGGATTGGCTGGCTGGAGGTACTAACGCGTGGTGGCTACTACTCGAAGCGAGGAAGGTGCTATTAGAAGTTGTAGCAGTGGTGGTACTAGTGGTAGGAGAAAGAGCATCCAACGTGGCTGTAAGCGGAGTGATCCATGGCGATGCTATCGTGCTACGACTCTGCAGGACGCGCGACAATCCGCCTCGAGAAACCCGCAGGGCCATGAACGGACGCGGAAAGGAACGAAGAGCGCGAGTGCGGCTAGACGAGACATGCGAGCGATCTGCAGGCCATGGGGGAGGGTGTGCGTGAGGTGGTGCGATCGATGCGAGGCGAGGCGAGAATAGTAATGAGATGCTAACACCAAGAGCGATAAACAGCTATTCTAGTTGTTTGGGTTCGCTGTGGCGTGTCGGCTGGCTTGGTTGGCTAGTTGGCTGCTTGGTGGCTGTGGTGGAGCTCGCGTGTGCTCATCAGCTGCTGCGAAATATCAAAGCTGGTTACTGTTACTTGCTTTGCGCGTGTAGGGCTTCACGTAAAAGCTACAGTTAGGGTGTAGAATTGTAAAACATATGAATGTAGATATCCCCCATCCAAGGGAGAACCTTGTAGCGGGCCAGCGTTTGTTTGAACCTTTAACCCCCACACCTATTAGGGCGTGCCCAGCGCGTACACTTTGGGATTTTACTTAATTTTAACGTATTTTGAATCACTCATAGAAACAGTACCGCCGGGTGCACCCTTCTGGTTTCGCTTCCAAAAATGTGTGGAAAGACACAATTCGCTCCTCAGCACAAGCCGAACATCATCTTGCGCGACTGTGGCGACAGCACAAATCTGTAACCAGAAGGGTGGCAATTCGATTCCTAGAAATATTCGCAAGATTCAGTTTCGCGAAAACCTCAGATTCTCACGAACATCGACCTTGACTTCGCTGAGCCGTCACTGTAGCAACGTGGACGCGTGCAAGTCTGATTTTGAGGTTTGTTACGTGCGTTTCGCGTCATGTTAACGATTCGGAGGAACGTGTGGGCTGTTACTGGTTTTACGTATCATAGGTGTTCGTGTCCTAAAAATATGTACACATGTGGTTACAATTTGAAAAAGTGGTAACTGTAGCGCGAGGTCAGCCGTAAACGTATGCGCTGGACACGTCCTCAGCACAGTCCAGCACACCCGTGAGATCCAACACCGGGATCCAAGGGCGACTGCGAAGTGTGTCCTCATTCCAATTCCACCACCTCGCCTCCCACTCCCGCTCACCGAACTCCACCGCTGCACCCATGGACGCGCTCCGCCAAGCCATGCGCGACGCGGCGCTGCGGCTGCCGAAGCCCGCGGGCGTGCCGCTGTCGTACGGCACGGCGGGCTTCCGCCACGACGCGGCGCTCCTCGACTCCACGGTGCAGCGCTGCGCGCTGCTGGCGGCGCTGCGATCGCTGCAGCAGGGTGGGCGTGCGACGGGCGTGATGGTAACGGCGTCACACAACCCTGCGAAAGACAACGGCGTGAAGATCGCCGACAGCAACGGCGGCATGCTGGCCGTCGCGTGGGAGGCACACGCCACGCGGCTCGCGAATGCGGCGACTGCGGACGACTTGGTGCAGGTGCGCGGCGGGTGACTGGATCAACGTGACTGTAGCGAGAGAAAAGCAGAGCAGTAATGCAAGCTTGCAGTGCTGGCAAGCTATTGGACTGTGAAAACCGCGGGTGGTGAATGAAGCGCGTGCAGAGCTTGGCGGCCGTGTGGGCGCCACTCGCCATGGAAAAAGTAATGTTCTGTTGGCGGGGCACTGGGAGAGTGTAAGAGGGCTACAGGTGCGTCCTGGGGGGGGGGGGGGGGGGGGGGGGGGGGGGGGGGGGGGGGGTGTATGGGTGTGGTACCCAGCAAGCAAGCATGCCTTGGTAACCCAGTCGGTAGCAGGCTGGGCCAACATGTGGGTGTGGGCGGCGCCAGGCGGGCGTTGCATGGATGAGCACGTGGACGGCTGTGCGGAAGGGGATGGCACAGAGCGTGCATGTGTGTAGGGGAGAGCCATGAATCGGCTACGATGAAAGGCATTGGGCATTGGTGCAAGTGCGTCCTCCATGGGTTGCTTGATGCATGTGTGTCCATGTGTGTCTATGTTTGTACATGCGTGTCCATGTGTGTCCATGCGTGTCCATGCGTGTCCATGTGTGTCCATGCGCGCGTGAGCAGGCAGTGGAGGCGATAGTGCAGGAGGAGGGAGTGCCAGTGGGCGACGCTACAAGGGGGCGAGTGGTACTGGCGAGGGACACGAGGGAGAGCGGTCCCAGGCTGCTGGACGCCGCACTGCAGGTCAGATGCCCATTGCCCAGCCCTGCTCTCACCCCATCTCTTATCCTCTCATACCTTCCGCTCCTCTCATTCCTCACAAACTTTCCCGACGCCGTTCCTGCCGTTGCTGCTCCTCCTGCTCCTGCTCCCCCTGGTATTGACATGAAACACATGCTATCCTGCCCGGTCCACTCTTCTTCCTCACATTCCCCCTCGTCTCCCTAGTTCCTTTCATTGCATCGCACCTCAGCCCCTCACCCCTGCCACTGCGCTCCTGGCCTCTGCTCTCCTCTCCTTTCAGCCATCGCCGTCACTTTCCGCCCCCTCCCTGCCTTCCTGCCTGTCTCTTGGCCCCCGCACTCTGCACGTGACCTCCTGGCTGCGCTACTCGCCTCTCCACTCATTCGCATATCGCTCTGCTCATCATGCCATCTCTCTCTCCCTTTTCTCCCTTCCTCCCCTCCTCTTTTCCGCCCTATCTCTCCCCCCCATCGTCATCCCTCTCAGGGCGTGGCGCTGGTACCAGGGGTAACCCCAGCGTCATGCGCGCTGCTGACCACCCCCCAGCTGCACTGGCTCGTGTGGGCGGCCAACCGCCAGCCCCCCGCCTCGCCGCTGCTGCCCTCCGAGGACCTCTACTTCTCCACCCTCGCCTCCGCCTTCAAAGCCCTGCTCCCCGCATCCTCCCCTTCCCCCTCCGCCGCGCCCTTCCCCTGTCCGCCACTGCTGGTGGACGCAGCCAATGGGGTGGGAGCGCCGAAGCTGCAGCGGCTGGTGGAGGAGGTGCGGGGGAGGGCGGGCGTGGCGCTGGCGGTGGCAGTGCGCAACACAGGGGGCGAGGGCGAGGGGGAGCTGAACGAGGGCGTGGGGGCGGATTTCGTGCAGAAGGAGCAGCGCGCGCCCAGGGGGTTCGGAGGGGATGCGGACATGGCGCACAGGTGGGTGGGCGCACAGGTGGGCGGGCGCACAGGTGGGTGGGCGCACAGGTGGGCATGGGATGCGCAGGTGAGGTGCAGATGGGTTGAAAGAAACTATGGTTGAGACTCCCAGCATCTGCTCCATCATGTGCCCACACCACCTGCCACTGCCACTGCCACTGCCACTGCCACTGCCACTGCCACCCTGATCATCACAGCACCTCCTGTGAGCTCCCCCCCCTGCCACTCTGCAATCGTCTCTCCTCTCCCACCCCCGGCCACAACCCAACCCTTCTCGATCCCCTTCCCCCGCCTCTCCACGTGCTTCCCTGCCCACGTGCAGGTGTGTGAGCTTGGATGGCGATGCGGACCGCCTCGTGTACTTCTTCCACTCCCCTCCCTCACCCTCCGCCACCGCTGCTGCCACTGCGTCACAACCCGCCTCCACCCCTGACTCTGCTGCACCTGCTTTCCACCTCCTAGACGGGGACAAGATCGCAGCGCTCTTCACCTCCTTTCTCGTTCAAACCCTCCGCGCCATCTCCCCCTCCTCCCCCACACCCCCCGCCTCCGCCTCCGCGCTTCCCCCCTGCGCCTGGTTTGCCCTCCCGTCCTTCCGCCCCATCTCCCTGGGCGTGGTGCAAACCGCCTACGCCAACGGCGCGTCAACGGCGTATCTGGCATCGCAGCTGGGGTGTGCGCCGGCAGTGGCGCGCACAGGGGTGAAGCACGTGCACGCGGTGGCGGAGCGGTGGGACGTGGGGGTGTACTTTGAGGCCAATGGGCATGGCACCGTGCTGTTTGGGGAGGAGTTACTGGGATGGCTGCAGGCGCAGACTGAGAAGGGACTGCCGGAGGGATCGGGTGAGTTGGAGAATGCAGGTGTGAGGGAGTGAGTGAGGGAGTGAGGGGTTGAAGGAGTGAGGGAGTGTGGGAGTGAGGGTTTGAGGGTGTGTGGTATTTGAATGCAGGAGTGTGGTGTGGGAGTGCAGCAGCGTGCATGCTGTTTTGTTGGTGGGGGAAGGGAGTACGGTGGAAGGGCTGGTCGTGCTGCGCTGGAAGCTGCAGGGCACATGGCTACAAGGGGATGAGCACTGTGCTGCTGCCTGTGTGTGCTGTGCTGTACAAGGGGAAGAGGCTTTGGCACTGCGCCCTACTAACTCCCTCCATACGTGTCTCTCCCAATCCTCCCCTTCCCCCTCTCGCATCTGCGCCCCGATACACCTCCCCTCCCCCAGCACTGCAGCGCCTAACAGCGCTGAGTGCGCTGTGCAACCAGGCGGTGCGGACGACCTGGCAAGTACTGAGCCGCCTAAGAACTCCTTGCATCTCCCTCTCCCATTTCCCTTCCACTCTTCCGTCTCCCCCACCCAGCCCTGCAGCGCCTGGCAGCGCTGAGCATGCTGTGCAACCAGGCGGTGGGGGACGCGCTGGCGAACGTACTGGCAGTAGAGGCGGTGCTGCGCTGCCACGGCTGGTCGCACCACGAGTGGAGTCGCATGTACCACGACCTGCCATCCCGCCAAATCAAGGTCTCTCCACTGTGCATAGGGTGTTGTGTATGGGGTGCTGCACATGGGGTGCTGCGCATGGGGTGCTGCGCATGGGGTGCTGCGCATGGGGTGCGGCGCATGGGGTGCTGCGCATGGGGTGCTGCGCATGGGGTGCTTCGCATGGGGTGCTGCGCATGGGGGGCTGGCAGCGGGGGAAGGGTGCCTATCGTCATTATTTGAGTGTGCCACGTCATCACCTGAGTGTCTCCATGCCATCAAAATGCATGCCGCCTATGCTCCTGCATGATCCATGCTCACTGTCCCCCCACCTTCGTCTCCCCCCTCCCTCCCCCCTCTTTCCCTGCGCCCTACCATGTCTTCTTGTGCGCATGCGCATGTCTTCTCATCCGTTACGCTCACTACTCCTCAACACCGCGCTGCACCGCTCAAGCAACACAGCACCCCTGTGCCGCACCACTCCTCCTTGAAAGCTTCTCAAGCCCACGTCGCCCCACAGCGGCCGCCCATCATTTTGCTCCCCCCTTCCCTCATTTGTCGCCCCCTGCCACCTGGCTTGCGTGCACATCAGGTGCGAGTGGCGGAGCGCAGCATGTTTTTGCCATGTGACGATGACACCAGACTACTGGAACCCACCGCTCTGCAGGCCACCATCGATGCCGCTGTTGGTAAGTGCGTGCGCTGCGCCTGCTGTGTGCCATCCATGTCACTGCACCGTACCGCATGCTACCACACGCTATCAACCCATTTGTTGGACCTCTCCCCGTCCTGCCTCTCCCCGTCCTGCCTCTCCCCGTCCTGCCTCTCCCCGTCCTGCCTCTCCCCGTCCTGCCTCTCTGCACCCACAGTCCGCTCACAGCGACACCTCACATGCCTGCCATGGTGTGCAAATGCCCTTGCACCTCCTTCACCTATGCTCACACCTCCTTCCCTCTCACTCACTCTCTCCTCCCCTCCTCGCCCCTTTTCCCCTGCCCCACACATCAGCGGGTGTGGCAGGGGGGCGGGCGTTTGTGCGGCCATCAGGCACGGAGGATGTGGTGCGCGTGCATGCAGAGGCCGCGGATACCCTTGCACCTCCTGCTCCGACCCTCACACCTCCTTCCATCTCGCTCACCCTCCCACCCCCCCCAACCCCCCCCCCCCTTTCTCCTTTCCCACCACCCCTTTCCCCCTCCCCGCACATCAGCGGGTGTGGCAGGGGGGCGGGCGTTTGTGCGGGCGTCAGGCACGGAGGATGTGGTGCGCGTGTATGCAGAGGCCACCAGGCAGGAGCAGGCAGATGGCCTGGCTCGCACCGTGGCCGCTGCTGTGGAGAGGCACTCCCCTGTGCCGTAGGTCGGGGGAGGCGAGAGGGAGGGGAGGCACGTGGTTGGGTGGGAGGGAGGGAGGCATGTGGGGTGGGTGAGGCGAAGGGGGCATTGCTGTGCAAGGGGGCACTGATGTGCAAGGGGGCACTGATGTGCAAGGGGCAGGGCTCTTGCTAGGATCTGGGCCTGTCTGACATACCTAAGTAAAAAAACCGTTCCGTCTGACGTTCAGATGGGCATATTTTTTTGGTCTGATTTTTTGGACGAATGTTAAAGCTTAGTCTGATTCTTCATACGATTCAATTTGCACAGTCTGATTTAGCTACCACATGTTGGGCTGAGAATTTCAGCCTTAGGATCTTTGCAGAGAATAGGCTAGTAGGTGCTAGAGTAGCACAGCGGAAGACTTGAGTGAATGTACTTGTGCTGGTGTGTGAGAACAAGTAATTGATTAAAGCAAAGAGCATACAGGAATATATAGGAAAGATAGATTGCAGGAAGCGGTTGTGTTTATCGAGACGCGTAACGCTTCGACTATCGAGGCGGTTACTGTTCACTGAAGCGTCGCTTGCTGTTACGTAACCTCCAGGCGGTTACAGCTCGCAACCTCCAGTTGCGGTTTGATGTGGTACGCGCCCTTTCGACTTCGTACCCCTTTTGTTGTGCTTCAGTATCGGGTGAGGTTCGATACTACAGAAACGCACTAAGTCATGCGTTTATATTCCCAACACTCCCCTTCGTTTCTGGAGTGTCGACGTGGTCAGCTTCGGTGACGTGGCCCAATCCGGTAAGCAGCATGCAGTACTCGAATTTCCCCTTTGGTAACTTCTTGGTGAGATAATCTGCTGCCATCTCGGTGGTCGGGCAGTAGTCCAGCTGGAGTTTTCCTTTCTCGATTTCGTCTTTCACGAAGAAGTATCGCAGTGCGATATGTTTGATTCTGTTGGCGAAACCGTTCTTGTTCGCGATGCGTATCGCGGACTGGTTGTCGCAGAAAAGCGAGAAGTTGGGTACCTTCGCAATTTTCGCTTCTTCCAGCAGTTCGCGCAGGTACAGACCTTCCTTGGTGGCGGTGCAGAGAGCAATATACTCTGCTTCAGCAGATGATAGTGCGACGAGTTCCTGCTTACTCGATTGCCAGGAGATAGTTCCGATGGGCTCGAGACGGTAGACGTAGCCGGTGCGAGAGCGACGATCGACACGATCAGCAGCGTGATCAGCGTCGACGTAACCGAGTAGTTTTAGATCGGTCGTCGTGCTCTTGTGATATGTTAGGCCAACTATTGGCGTCGAGATGAAGTAGAGAAGGGCTCGGTTGAGCTCCTTGAGGTGACGTTGTTCTGGGCGTTTAAGGTAGGTCGCTAGCTGGCTGGCGCTGTAGGATAAGTCCGGTCGGCATGTGACGGCGGCGAAAAGTAGACGTCCCAGTTTCTGTTGATATTCCTGGATTCCGGCAGATGGCAGTAGTTTGGTTTCTTCGGTTGGGTTGGGCGATAGGTGACTGTAGGGTGTTGCGACGTGCGTCGGTGTGAAGCAGAAGCGTTCGACGATAGTGCTTGCGTATTTTGAGGCGCTGAGATGAATGGCGTTGTCTTCGTCGAGAATGTTGAGCCCTAGGTATTGCGTGACGTCGGGTGAGACTGTGAGGGAGAGATCCCTTTGGAGCTCCTTTTCGAACCAGGTGACGATGGCGGTAGTTGACCCGATGTAGAGTAAGTAATCGACGTAGACGATTAGCAAGACGTAGTCGTTGTCGTGGGTGAGGCGATACATGCCCTGGTCATGGGGCAGTTGGTCGAATCCGATACGTTTAAGTCGTGCGTGCAGGTACTGCTGCCAGAGTCGCGGTGCCTGTTTGATTCCATACAACGATTTAAGTAGTTGACAGACGCGGGAAGGGTCGTCGACGAACCCGTGGGGCTGTTCAACGAAGATTTCAGCGTCGACTGGGGCGTACAGAAAAGCGTTGGCGACGTCGATTTGTCGGAGTGGACGGCGACGTGAGGCGGCGACGGCGAGAAGAATGCGTAGGGAAGTGTGTCGACTGACTGGAGCGAAAGTCTCGGTGAAGTCGCGATCAAATTCTTGGTCGAATCCGCGGACGACCCATCGAGCCTTAAATCGTTCGATGGTTCCGTCGGAGTTGGTTTTGATCCGGAATACCCATTTCCCAGAGAGAATGGGTCTGTCTTGTGCGAGTGATGCAGGGACGATCTTCCAGGTGTTGCGGTCTGATAGCGCTTTTAACTCCTTTTCCATGGCTTTGCGCCAATTTTCTCTGTGTTCCCCCCCCAGAGCCTACTTGACAGAGCGAGGCTCTTCAGGTGGCGTCGAAGTCCCGTGCACAGCAGTGACGAGCCCCAGAACTTGGAGTCCGCTGGGGGTGTGATGGTTCATCAGGGGATCCTCGGGATAGACTGCTTCGTCTCCCGCTTCAGGATCAGGTGCAAATCCGGGGCCATAGCGTTCAGAAATGTCGGTGTTGACGGGTTGGGGTGTTACGTAACCGGTGTCGGCGAAATGGTAGTAGGCGTCGGCATTGACGCTGTCGCGAGGATTTTCGTCGTCCATGGGGATTGGGACGGAGCAGTAGGGAAGGGGTCCAGCAGCTTCGGAGGCGCCGTCGACGTTTTCTTCTTCCCAGTCAGCAGCGTCGGAGGGTGAAGCAAAGGCTCGGGAGCTAGAAAATCCGCCGGTGGGTTCGACATGGCGTGCGATGTTGTCCAGGTAATGGTTGAGGGTGAGTCGCTCGTAGAAGATAACATCACGTGCTGCTACTGTTTCCTTTGTGTGGACGTCGAAGATTCGCCAAGCTTCGTAATGTTTTGCCAGCCCGAGGTGTAGGCCCCACTGTGCTCGTTGCGAAAATCTTCCTGCGCGTGCAGTGTGTGGGCGGTACTGTACCATACACCCAAAGACTCTCAACATTTTTGTGTTGCCCAGCTTCCCAGTCCACAACAGGTGCGGAGATGCGTTGTTGGGCAGTGAAGACGAGGACAGCAAGTTGTGCAGGAGGACAGCCTGGTCCATCGCTGCTGGCCATTCTGAGTTGGGCAGTCGTGTTCCACGTAGCAGCTTTCGCATGGTTGTATGCAGGGTCCTGTTCATCCTTTCTGCCACACCCTGCTGTTGGTGAGCGTAAGGGAGAGAGATGAGGCGTTTGATGCCTCTTTCTGCCAAGAACTGCTTGAAGCGGTGTGACTGGCATTCCATCGCGCCGTCTGACTGAAAACTCTTCAGTTTTACTCCCGATTCTCTTTCAGCGACAGGTAGCCAGGCTGTGAAGGCTTCTAGAGCCATGTCTTGTGACGGTAAGTTAACGTGCCAGACATAACGTGTTGCGGCGTCGATGAAGGTGATGACGTAGTTCAGATCTTCACGTCCTTCGGTCCGAGGTATGTATAAGATGTCGCTGTAGACTTTCTCGAGTGGTTGATAAACGGGGGTGCTCGGGTTGTGATGTGACGGGAACGGTTGGTGAGGCAAGTCCGCTTCCGGACAGATGAAGCAAGTGCCGCGTGGTCGTTCGAGTTCGCGTCCGTTGGGAAGAAGTAGAGCGTTCTTGTCTAACACTCCGGCTCGTATTGTGTTATATAGTGTCTTGTTTCCAGGATGTCCAAGGCGTTGATGCCAAATGTCTTCGGAGGCGCTGTGACCGACGGAGCGTTGATAGAAGTCTGCGTTGGCAAAGAAGGCGGCGTGTGTTGCTGCACTTCGATGAACGGCGCGTGGTGTTGGCGTTAACTGTTGGGCGGCTGTCGGTGGCGTGTCGATGATGGGAGGTGGTGGTGGCACGACGGAGGGACCGGGCTGTGGAGTTTCGGAAGGTGGTTCCACGACGACGGTTGGTTCTTCGACTACAGGTTCGGTGGTTGTTGGTGCTGTTTTGGCTGTTGTTGTTGTTTCGATGACGGGTACCGACTCGGGTGTTGCTTGTGTTTGCAGGACGCCAAGCGCGTTGGTACGTTCAGCCTTGGGAATGGTACGGGAGTACCAGAAGCCTTCAGGACTGAAGTTCGGGTCAAGATCTGGCGGGTGCGTCCAAGGTGCGAAGGCGACTATGCCGTCGCTGTCGGCGGTGCCTTTGTCGGGGACGAAATCAAGAACGAAGACGTTGGCTTGTTGAATTGCGCGGCCGATGAAGACCCCCCCCTTTTCCGTGGAAAAGACGAATTTCCAGGGCGTCTGAGTCACACTCCAGGTGAATGCCTTTCGACATGAGCTGGCTGACGCTCAGTAAGTTAAAGCCAAGGTTGTCGACGACGAGCACTTTGTTTAATTGAAGAATGACATTCGTTTCATTCGACTGAAGCTCCACGATTCCTTGTTTGTTGGTGCGCAGGTTTTCGTTGTTGGCGACGGTAATGATGACATCTCGCGGAAGACGTCGTTCACGTTGAAGAAACCATGATGAAGTGAGAAAATGAGAACGAGGATGAATGACTAAGGAATGGAAGTGATACAAATATGCAACCCCAGAAATGTGTACCCCATATAGGCTACCCCACTAAAGCCTACACAATATTATAATTTGACACACCCCCATAGGCAAAGTGGGGGAGAACAAGGGGTCACAAGACCAGTCAGGCAAAGCAAACAAAGCTCAGGGTGGATCACAACGTCACCACACAGTCCGAGCACAAGGTAAAGGCCACAAGGCCAGTTCACATGCAGGAGTACACATATATATATAAGGCTAAACAAGCAAGAGCAGGTATATATATATGTAAGAGTACAAGCAAGGTCAAGGGGTGAGCAAGTGAGGCAAGACAGGCACAAGACCCAGCTGAGTGCAGAAGCGCTGATGATCACAAGGTGGAAGTGCCTTGGTGAAAACATCAGCAGTGTTGGCCTCAGAGGCCACGTACGCAAGTCGCAACTGACCACGCTGCTGCAACACACGAGCAAGAAAGTAGCGGAGAGCAATGTGCTTTGTTCTGTGCTCCAGGCGCTGCTCCCGACACAAGGCTAGCATGGCCTTGTTGTCTACGTACAGCACCGGAGGAGAACAAGGCGGCTCTCCGAGGT